AGAGGCTGGTATTGCTCCAATCAAGCTAGTTCCCATCCCTGAATACAAAGCACGCCAACCTTCATCTCGCAAAATTAATTTGAGCGTGTTGACTATACCTCGGTACACAACAGAAGACTTCCATGGCCTCCCTCCAGTATCATTTATCCTCATCCATTGACCACTTGCATCCCTGGATGAGCCTCTGTATGATGGTGGCCTTGCTAACTGTTGCGTTTGCAATCTTGTTCGAATAACTTCGTGTGGATATGTGGCTGCAGTCGCACACGCTTTGCTCGCGGAACTGGCTGCTAGAATTCCCAAGAGTTGAAACCGTCCCTGGTCCTCACGCCAACTTCCAAGTCCTGTTCCTGTCAAATATCTCTTAAATTGTTCATACAGTGGAAATTGTATAGCCAAGTTTGTTACACCAAGCAATGCCGGAGTTAACCCTGAATAAAACGAAATAACGCCTTCTCGATAATACATCTTCCGAGCGACATCTATGATGGACTTGTACTCTCTAGTGGTGTTCTCGATAGAGATACTCGATTGAGACTGTAATCTGGTTTTGATAACCCACAATGGATATGTGAATAATGTAGAACAGGCACCTCCAGCAACTGCTGATATACATGAGGATACTAATATATGTTGTGGGCCGTTTGGTACAGGTTAGTACTACCCGCGGCTATTGGGACAAAGTGCGTGGCAGGGGTGACTTACTAAATTTTTTTATCAAAAAATCATTGATCTTATGATATATTGGGAAGTGTATTGTTCCCCTTAGGAAGCTTGCCAGCATGATGGGTCCCAGGCCTTGGTACATACCAATCAATCCCCCTTCGTGCCATATTGCACGCCCAGTACCTATCATGCCCCTGTTTTGAAATGAACGTCGTTTGCCAACGGCGTCGAGCGTCCATAGTTGGAGACCATGTCTAGCTTGTAATTTGGTTTTCATAACATCCAGAGGACATGTTACAACACTAGAGGCTACCCCGCTAGTAGCTCCGGCCAAACTTCGAATCGACGTATTCGATAAACAGAGTGTAAGATCTTGGAGATGGGAAAGTAGGGAAGTTGACTCATGTGGACATAGTTGGTGGTAGTGACCCCCGACATAGGAGTTTTCGGTATTCTGAGAATTGCAAAGGGATGGTTCCTGGTGCTTGACACACATTATGGATAGAACAAGCAACTAAAAATGTTTTAATAATCTCATTGAGCACGTTTACTTCGCCATGTCCCAAGCTTTAAGCACTCTATATATATATATATTATACTCCTGACGCCGATGGAGCCGCCGCCATTATATAGCAACAGCTAGTCATATATTTGCAGCACTGTGGAGTGTTTCGCCGCTTTTACGTCATGCTTGTAATGTTAAGCGCATTGTTAGGTTTCCTTCGCCCTCTAGTCTGACGTAGTTATTTACGACCCTAACCTAAATGTCCAATTAATGGGCCCACAGGGTAGCCATTTGGAATAACATCGGATGTTCCAGCCAGTAAGAAGAGCGTGATGAAGGATACAAGCCCACGATGAGCCTTCTATTCCGGCTCCCTTCCCGAGCTCTAATATCAGTTTCCGAGGAGGTCCTTATTTGCCGGTCAGGCATGATTCTGAGGCATCATCCTCCAAAAGGAGCCGCCATCCGT